AAATCAAATCTCTAATATCTCTGAGGTATGACTCAGTGCATATTTGTAAATAGATGGAATCCAGAAGGTATTCAGTGGGTGTTGGTGGTGAATTAAGATATTTTAAATTAAGTGCCAAATAATTTGCTGTCTTCCAAACCTGTTTAATTTTAGTTGCTTATTCTGCTTGCTTTGTTTAAAAAAATTTTTTTTCAGGTAATCATTTTAATGGCCATTTAAAAACAGCCACTGTATTCTAGAACAAAATTGTAAAGATTTCTTTTTGAAAGTGTTATCAGTGTGGTGATATATAAGCACTAGTTCCCTTATCTCTACTTGCTGCCCAAGTGTTATAATATTTAATCAATGTCATTTGTTAAATAATAGGTTAACTAACTCAGTGTAGCATGATTATAATATTTAATCAATGTCATTTGTAAAATAATAGGTTAACTAACTCAGTGTAGCATCATGTAGTATTTCATTTGTTTTTATTGCCAAGTTTAATTCCTTTATAAATTATATCACTGTTTATCCATTGTCTCTTTGATGGACAACTGTACTATTTATGATTAAAGGTGTTATAAATGTTTTTGTACAAGTGCTTGTGTGGATACTGTTTTTATTTCTTAGGAATACCTGGTACTGGAATTGCTGTGTCAAGATAGATACAGGTTCACTGATTATAGCTGCACGCCTGTAATCCCAGCGACTCAGGAGACCAAGGCAGGAGGATCACAAATTTGAGCCCAGCCTCAGCAATTCAGCAAGGCCTTAAGCAGCTTAGTGAGACCCTGTTTCAGAATAAAAAACAAAAACGGCTGGGGATGTGGCTTAATGTTAAAGCACCTTTGGATTCAGTCCCCAGTAAAATAAACAAATAGGTACATAGATAGATACAGGTTTAATTATATAATAAGTGCCAGACTTTTCCCCAAAGCAGTTTTGCCATTTTTACATTCCTAACAGTGACATGTTAGGGTTTTATTGCACTTCATCTTCACTGATTTTTTTTTATAGTTATAATCTTTAATTTTAGTGGATATGTTTATTTTTAATGTTAATTATTATGATTATTGATACCACATATCTACTACTATCACTCATAATTTGAACATTCTTAGCTGTTTATCTTGGTAATGAAGTTTTTGGTTTTTTTTTTTAATTTTTATTATTGGTTGTTCAAAACATTACATAGTTCTTGACATATCATATTTCATATATTTGATTCAAGTGGGTTATGAACTTGGTAATGAAGTTAATGGGTTCATTACAGAGTTAGGGAGTACTCAATTCTGACCCCAAGTATAAATTTGTTAGTCCCTAAGTCTGCCCCTTCAACACTCTGATACCAACTGCAGGTTAGGAGTCTTTAAGACTGCTTTTACTCTGGGTGTGGTGGGGCACACCTGTAATCGCAGTGGCTCGGAAGGCTGAGGCAGGAGAATCATGGGCTCAAAGCCACCCTCAACAAAATCCAGGCGCTAAGCAACTCAGTGAGACCCTATCTCTAAATAAAATACAAAATAGGGCTGAATGTGACTCAGTGGCTGAATGCCCCTGAGTTCAATCCCTAATCCCCGCCCCCCCAAAAAAAAACCACTTTTACTTCTGACATATCTTACAAGTTTGGAGGCCTCAAGATCACCCTCAGATTTTATTATTTGTTAGAACTCTTAGAGCTTACAGAAAATTTACTCAATTTTGTCTTATTTTAGTGAAAGGATTGTGTTTAACATTAGCCGAGGGAAAAGGTGCCTTATATAGGATCTAAGAGAGTTCCAGTCACAGATTCCAGTTGTCCTCTTGCTGTAGACTTGACACAGTGCTTACTTCTTGAGCAACAGTGCATGACAATATGTGCAGAGTATTGTCAGTTAAAGAAGCTTATCTGAGCCATGGTGTGCAGAGTTTATATTGGGGTTCAGTCTCCTAGACATGATTGACCGCTTATGTTGTTGACCTTAGTCTCTAGTCTATCCAGAGGTTGAGCTGATACTGTGTGGCACAAAGCCATCCCAACAGCCCCAGTAAATCACATTGTTAGTGTAGACTATTTGGAATTGCCCAAGGTCCCCAGGTAAATAAAAACACTCTTATCAGGCTATATATTCCAAGGATTTGTAGCTTACTTCCAGAAACCAAAGACAAAGAGGCCAGACCTCTCTTTTGGCACAGTTAATCTTTTCTGCACATTCATCTATCCTCTTTGTTTTTTTAAAGCTAAAATATGCAAAATGATTGAATTAAAATGGTTACAATCTGTGACTAAGTTAAGAAACGTAACTGGCTCATGTGGATATAGATTGGGATCTTGATTCTTTTACAAAAAATTTTGTCAGTACTAGGGATTGAACCCAGGGTTTTGTGCATGCCAGCCAAGTGCTCTACTATTGAGCTGTATCCCCAGTCCATGCTGTTGCTCTGCCTATCTCAGGAGCTAACCTACTGAGCTATTTATTTAGGTACTGGGCATTGAACCCGATGGTGCTTAACCATTGAGCCATATTCCCAGCCCTTTTTAAATATTTTAATTTAGAGATAGAGTCTCACTAAGTTGCTCAAGGCCTTGCTGAGTTGCTGAGGCTGGCTTCGAACTTGGAATCCTCCTGCCTCCTGAGCTGCTGGGATTACAGGCACATACCACTGCATCTGGCCCTATTGAACTCTTTAATCCAAATTTATGAAGATTGTGAAACCTGATGACATAGTTTTTGTTTTTTAATTAATTCAGCAGACATTGAACTTCTGGAATGTTCAGGCACTGTGCTACACATATAAATACTAATATACAAAGTGTATTTATTGCTTTTAGCTCCTCAGTCAAGTCAGAGACAGTTGATAATCAAAGCAGGTGCTTATGTTGGAAGTTGCTTATGTTGAAGTTGCTGGAGTTTTGATTTGCATTTCTCTAATTTCTAGAGATGATGAACCTTTTTAAAAATATTGTTGATTTATTGTATATCCTCTTCTGAGAAGTATCTGTTCAGGTCCTTGGCCCATTTAATGATTGAGTTATTAGTTTTTTTGGTGTTTAGCTTTTTGAGTTCTTTATATACCCTAGAGATTAGTGCTCTCTCTGATGTGTGAGGGGTAAAGATTTGCTCCCAAGCTGTAGGCTATCTATTCACCTCACAGATTGTTTCTTTTGCTGAGAAGGAACTTTTTAGTTTGATTCCATCCCATTTATTGATTCTTGGTTTTAATTCGTGCGCTATAGGAGTCTTTTTTGAGAGAGAGAGAATTTTAATATTTATTTTTTAGTTTTTGGTGGACACAACATCTTTATTTTTGTATGTGGTGCTGAGGATCAAACCTGGGCTGCACGCATGCCAGGCGAGCGCGCTACCGCTTGAGCCACATCCCCAGCCCCTATAGGAGTCTTATTAAGGAGGTTGGGGCCTAATTTTGAGATAGGATTCTTGCTAAATTACTGAGGCTGTCCTCAAACTTGCAATCCTCCTGAGTAATTAGGGTTACAGACTTGTTTCACCATGCCCTGCTAATATTATTGGTAGTTAATAATAATAAAAATTCATGAGTCTTTAGGTTTAGTTAAAGGGAGACCTTTTCCTTTTGTTATTTTTAATATTAAAAATTGGTTATTAACTCAAAACAAATATAGAAAGATCTTGAATAGTTATTTCTTTTCTTTTTTTTAATATTTATTTTTTAAGTTTTAGGTGGACACAATATCTTTATTTTACATTTACTTGGTGCTGAGGATCGAACCCAGTGCCTCAGTCTACCACTGAGCCACAACCCCAGCCCCAATAGTTAACATTTCTTAACAGTCATTAGGGAAATTGAGATAATTTTTCAAGCGGTGTTTTGACTTTTTGCTCTTTTTTTTTTTATGTTCTAGCTCACTATGATCCTCTTTTTTGTTCTTTTTACTCTTTCTTTTCTCTGCTTACTCTTATATCCCTGCCTTAGTGCAATGAAGATTATTTGTTTTGTTTTACTCTTTGAGAGCTTTTATGGATAGAGCAAAATTTGACATAAGCCAGGCTTAGTATTTCAGATTTTCTTATATTTTATTTAGGTGATGACTCCCACAATTAAAAATATACTCATTAATTTGAGTTGAAATAGAAATGTGTGTGTGTGGTGTTTCATTGGCTGTAGGGATTTTAATAGCACAGGTTCTTGGCACATAGCAGAGAAGTCTTTAAACTCAGAATATTCAAGGTAAATTATCAATATCCTCACATTGTATTTACCATTCAGTGCCTCAATTTGTAAAGTACACTGTTATTTTATGTACCACTAAAATAGGAGAAAATACTGCTAATCATAATTAAAAGGGAAATCCCAGTATTATAAATTTAAAAAAAAATTTTTTTTTTTTTTTTTTTAAAGTCAGGGTTTCACTTTGTTGCCCAGTCTGGCCTCAAACTGTTGAGCTCAAGCGATCCTTCAGCTTCAACCTCTCAAGTAGTCAAGACTACAGGTGCTTTCTACTGTGCCTGTCCATAAATATTAATACATAAAAAGTGTGAATCTTAGTAAATCTGTGAAATTATGCACATATGGAAACTATGCTTCCATTTTTACCACAACTTGTAGTAATTTTGTACTTTGATCAAAATTTGATTTTCACTTTTTCTGTAGTTCCCTCTGTTGGTTGTTAAATTCAGTAAACAATTTCATCCCTTTCGAAGTCATTCTTATAATAATAGCTAACATTTATATAGGATTTACTGTGTGCTAGACACTATTTAGTGTACTTTTTATATTTTAGGTAACTAAGTTTTAAAGTATCCTTATGTACTGAGTGCTTTTAGTATTCCTATTTTATCAGTAGGAAACTGAGATACAGATCAATCACATGACTTGGCCCAAGATCATTCTGGTAAATGGTAGAGCTGGGCTTTGAATGTAAAAGGTCTAACTGCAATGATCATGCTTGTTAGCAGTATTTTCCTGCATATCTTACCAGGCAGTATTTGAAGGTGTGTTGGTAAATTCGTATGAAATTATTAAGTTATGCTTTTGGTAATTTTTGTTTGTATTTTTAGGACATTCAGTCAGAAGAAGGCTGCTATTGAAAGAGAGTATGCACAGGTAAGCTTGGAGCTGGAGATCCCCTTTCTAGGTATGCCTCTTTTCCTTGGCTTAAGGACAAATATGGTTGTCAGAGAACCTTAGTGTCCTGCGTCTTCTTTGTCTTCTCATTTCTGGCTACCTTTCTTTGATCCCCCTTTTGCTATATTTGAATCTTCAAGTGAGGAGCTAAGTTGTTCCTCATTACAAAGAGGAACTTGTTAGACATTATTTACAGTATTTGTATTTACAGATATGAATGATAATACATTTCACAAATACATTTATTCATTTCCTTTATATGCTTAATTCTCTGCAGTTTATGTAAGGTTAATTTTTATATTTATTTAATCAAGCATTTAGTTCTTATTCAGCCCTGTTGATAGAGAGTGGTATGCTTTTCAGTGGACAGTATGGAGTTATTTGTAGGAAAATTTAAGCATTTCCATCTTTAGTTTTGATTAGACCCTTATTTGTGCCTCAGCTGAATATTGCAAGAAAAAATTATGTTGACCATCATTTTTTGGATGTGTAAAAATCACTATTTTTACACACGTACTTAATATACTATTGTACTTAATAACTATTATTATTAAGTACTTATATGTTAAGTACTTATTAAGTACTTATTATTAAGTACTTATATGTACTTAATAACTATTAAATGTACTTAATAATTACTTAAAAATAACTATTTTTACACATATAAATGTACTTAACCTATAACTATTTTATGGGTTATAGGTAACCTATAAAATAATTATAAAATGAAAAGAAGCTCTCTATGCTTGGAAAGATGGGACTTGTCAGTGGATAAATAGTAACAATAGAAAAGAATCAAAGGAAAATCTCAGAGCATCAAAAAAAAATATATTGTTGTTTATATATAAACAACTATTTTTCCATTTACAAAAACAAATTTACATAATTTGGAATTTTGGGCCTTTTAAGCAGTTACTTTTTGTATGTAATAGTAGTCTCAAAAGTTTCCCTCACCCCCTCAAATAATAAAATTCAAATTTGCAGCAACAATTTAAAACACAAGAGAAAAAATACAAAAGAACATTGGAAGGAAAAAGTAACATGGAGTTAATGTTCTATGTTGTAACCACTATTGCTGCTGCTGTTGATGTTCATTATAAATAATGAAGTGGGAGTATGATTTTCTTTTTTATCTATGCTTTTTCTGGTTTTAGTTTTAATTTTATTTCAATGTATTTAATTAGGTAAATGTCTGTCTGTATTTGAGTTTTAGAGAATTATCCTAAGCTAGATAGAATTCATCTCATTAGTTAGTAATTGTAGAGTGCTTAGAATGGATCGAGGCTTCAGATAATGAAAGTATCAGTTCTAATATTTATTTTGAGCCCTTTTTTCTGTGCATATATAATAAGTACTGGAAATGATAGGTAACATGTATTGAATCCTTACTTTGTACCAGGCTGTGCTGAGGATAGCCCTAATCTCACTCAATCTTTTCTTCAGGTAAAAGATTAACAGCAAATAAGCAAATACCTATATTGGTTTGCCCATTGATCATTTCCATATCTTTAAATAATGTGCTCATGATTGATTATTTACCTGCTCTAAGCATTATCTCAGGCAGAGCTGTAGCTCAGTGGTTGAATGCTTGCCTAACAAGGCCATTGGTTCCATTTCCAGCATTGCACCCGCCTCCCCCTAAAAGTGCTTGATTATTTATAATAAAATAAGTGAGAAAATAATAAAATTTAGTGAGAAAACACTAAACCATTTCTTTGTAGCCTACTCTTTTCAATATAATTGTGAGACTGGAGTTGTACGTCAGGAGTAGAATGCTTGCCTAGAACGCTTGAGGCCTGTGTTCACACACTGCCAAAAACAAATCTCTAATATAACTGTCGCACTACTTGAGTGTCTTTGTTAGTTTTGTAACTTTACCATCGTATTTAAGCTTCTTTTCTTCTATTAAGTGCATATATTTTATATACATATGCACACACATACATACGTGTTTATGTATTACACAGTAAGTAGAATTACATTTTATAGAGTAGTCAGGTTTACCCTTGAAGTTACCTTAAATGTCTGTCAAGTAGATTATAGTTAGTTTAGTTAAGTCCAAATAATAATATATGTAAATTATATAAGGTATTTAATAATGTATCTTTTAAAACCTCTTGAAGCAATTATATTCAGAATTAATATATTACATTGCTGTCTGCCAGGGAGGTTAAGTACATTTATAGAGCCAGTTCGTTGACTGTTCTTTTACTTATCATCATATTTGCCTTGTAGATGATTTTTCTTAGTTCTTATATTCTGGTGTTTTCCCAATTAATTTTTAAATTTATTTTCTGAAAATTTAGGCAATATTGTCTCTTATTGTTTGATTGCTTAAATATTTACTTCTTATCAATAGTACAGAAACTCCTAAAATAATTGACACTTTCTTTTGTCAGTGTGTACTAATTATTTCAGACCAATTTGTATTCCCTGTGTTAAAAACATGCCCTATTGGTGCCCTTTATTGGTACACGGTCAGAGAGGAGAGTGATAGTTGCACTAATTAAATTTCTTTCTGTTTTTTTTTTTTTTTTTAAGTTCAGTGTACAGTTGAAATTTTGGAAGATAAATTTTTAAAAATTGGTATAGTAGGTATATAGTAAGTAAGGTTGGACAGATCTTGAGTGTACTGTCTGATACATTTTTGTGAATTTGTGAGTAGTTTCAGTTATGTAACTACTACTCAAATCAAGATATAGAGCTTTACAGGTGCCCCAGAAGCATTCAATACTCATACCTTTCAGTGGTAACTAGTACTCTTTTATAAGGATTAGTTGTTGTCTTTAGACTTCTTGTGCTTCTTAAATGGTATATATCAAGCAAATGTGCTCTTACTTCATGGAGTATGGATCATACTCCACAAAATACGTACTCTTCCGTGTCTGATTCTTTCTTTTGGCATTACATTTTGAAGCTTCATACACGTTTTTGCATGCAAGGGTAGGCAGTTCGTTCTTCTTTATAGTACCCACTGAATGAATATATCACAATTTGTTTTTGTAGTGTACTAATGATGAAAATCTTAGTTTCATGTTTTGAATGATTTTGACTAATGCCTCTAAGCAAAGGTTTTACATATTGTTTTGGTAGATATATGTACAATGTTCTGTTAGATGTATATGTAGGAACCTAGGAGTAGAATTGCTGGGTCTTTGCTTATGTGTATCTCCTACTTGAGTAGATATAGCCAAGCAGTTTTCCAAAGTGATTGTACCAATTTACATTCTCACCAACAATTTATGAGAGTTGGGTTTGCTCCATATCTTTGCCCATATTTGGTTTTCTCTAAAATTAAAGCAGCTGATTTATTTTCCTTTAAAAAAAAAATATATATATATATATATATATATATATAAAATAATACTAGGGATTGAACCTAGGGGTGCTTAACCACTGAGCCATATCCCCAGCCCTTGTTATTTTTATTTAATGACAAGGTCTATATAAGTTGCTGAGGGCCTCGTTAAGTTGCTGAGGCTGTTTTTGAACTTGGGATCTTCCTCCTCAGCATCCTGAGCCATTGGGATTACAGGTGTGTGCCACCACGTCTGGCAAAGAAAGACTGACTTTTGATGAATATAAAGTAGTATTTTATTTTCTTCTTAATAAGCTGCGTAAAAGTTGACATACATAAAGAAGTATGCAAAAGTATATTACAGCTCCACAATTTTTTTTTTTTTTTTGTATCAGGGAATGGACCCAGAGGCACTTAACCACTAAGTTACATTCACAGCCCCTTTTATTTATTTATTTTTTATTTTGAGACAGGGTCTCACTAAGTAGCTTAGGGCCTGGCTAAGTTGCTGAGGCTGGTTTTGAACTTGGAAACCTCCTGCCTAAGCTTCCCAAATCACTGGGATGATAACCATCATGCCTAGCTCCACAAATTTTTGATACATGACCAAATTGTTTTCCAATTTGACTGTCATTTTTTGTCCCCACCAGCAGTGTACAGAGGTTTTAGTTCCAGTACTATCCTAGTCAGTACCTTGTCATTGCCTGTCTTTTCTGATTATAGTCATTGTGGTGGTCACAATCATTATGAATGGTGCCACTAGTACATTTCTTTTTAAAAATGTTTTTATTAATGCTTTATAGTTACATATAATAGTGAGGTTCATTTTAACATATTCACAAATGCATATACCATTATTTGCTCCATCTCAATCTCCAGTACTTTCTTGTTTTTTCTCCTCCTGTCTCCCTGCTCTGTCTCTTTTTCTACTGTATTGGTCTTCCTTCTTAGTACATTCTTACATGTGTCTTAGGTGATTATATATGTGTATTCTATTGGGGATATGCTAAGGAGTGGAATTGTATCATGGGTTATTTATCTGGCTTTGGAAGATATAAAAGAAATGGTGTTCTAAAGTGATTGTTGCAATTTACAATCCTATGGACAGCATTGAGAGTTGTAGTTGCTCTAAGTCCTCATCAACACTTTCTTTTTTTCATTTTAGCCTTTCTGGTGAGTATATGGTGGTAAAAATATTATAGATTTGATTTTCATTTTCCTGATGTCTAATGAAGTTGAGTAACTTTTTCATATTTTGTTTGGGCATTTAGATATGCTGTATTATGAAGTTCCTGTCAAGTTTTGTCATTTTTTTCCTTATTGATTTGTACTTTTTCAAAAAATATTATGATATGGCTCCTTTGTCAGATGTTGTATACATTGTAGACATTGGTATGTCATGCAGAAATATCATGGTTTGTGGCTTGCCTAATTTTTAAAAAATATTTTTTTTAGTTACAGGTGGACACAATATCTTTATTTTTATTTTATGTGGTGCTGAGGATCGAATCCAGTGCCTCACGCATGCTAGGCAAGTCACCTCCGAGCCACAACTCCAGCCCCGTGGCTTACCTTTTTATCTATAAATGGTTTCTTTTGATAAAAACAACTTCTTCATTTTCATGAAATGTAGTTTATTTTCTTTTAAAGGTAATGCTCTTTATGCCCTATTTGTTTGTTG